AACTCAATAATTTTGTCAAGGAATCAAGAATACCAGTTTAGAGGGAACCAAACTCAGGTAAGCTTTGATGAACAGTCAATGTGCAACAATATCTCATTGGAAAAAGCTTTTACGGCATTACCACAGATCTTAGAAACAAAATACATTCCGGAGAAGGAGAAAATCCGGAAATATCCTCTAACCCGATTAAACAGCCTAACAATAAGGAATACTTATTTCACGCTTAATGGCCGCATCCATGAGTTATGTTCACCCTATTTCGTTTAAGTTAATGAATGATTGGTATTTGAATCTTCACGCAAGGATATGAGTATACAAGACGTTTCCATCGAATTTCACACAGCCTTGCTTTCCCAAAAGCTGTTCTCATACAGGGTCAACTGCAGTTTCGACATCGCCTAGGTATTCTCAACACCTCTAGCGGGAGTTGAACCATGACAGCGTAGCGCGTAATCTTGGCAAGTTTACCACAATGCCACATTGACATGAGTGCCCTAGGGTCAACTCTACCCATATCATTTTGGGAGAATTCAACTAGCATTTTTTCATCACCTTTAACGAAATAGGGTGTGCATAACTCATAGATCTGATTTATTTGTAATCATGAAAACCTACTCAAAACGAAATATAAAAAATGTCTAATGTCTAGGTGAAAAGGTTGTAGGAGAATTCCAAAATGTTACCTTAGCAGCCAACAGTAATTACGCCATATTCAGATGACTAATTCGCATTCTGGTCTAATGGTAAAGAAAAATTGGACGATTTCCTGATATTCCTAAATGGCGCCGATAAAAACAGTCCAATTTATAGTGGATGTGAAAGAGAGGGACACTTAATTTTCTTGGATGTGGAGGTCATTTGCTCCGATGAGACTAAAAAAACGGTTATTCCTAAAGCAATCGCATACAGAAATAATGCTGAAATTCCAGTCTCATCATACTTACGGAATGAAGATTGGGATACTCAGGTGTATGGTCATAAGAAGCCTAAGACTAACCGATTTTGAATTCTATGAAGATGAACCAAAAAAATTAACTCATGCATATCTGGGAAATGGATATCCAAATGATAAGCAATACAACGCAAGAACGGATCGTGAACATCAGATGGCATGATGGGGAATACAACAGTAAAGGAAGGGTAACAGAAGAAAAGCTATGGAGGTGTACGCCCTCCTGTGAATGGAACATTCGTACAAGATTGAAGGAAAGGACAGCCCTCTTCCCCAGCAAGGCCACCAAACATGAATAAGCCAACAAAATGGAGTGATTGTCAGTTGATCCCGGCTACACATGACAATCACTGTTTAGCTGCCTCAAGTCTGGCTATCAAGGAGCCTTCAATTCCGGAGCCAGCTCATAAACATGATAACTGGGTAATGGGTATGAAGCCTAGGGAGATGAGTAGGCTCGATAATCATCATTCTTTAAATCCTCAAAAATAACTTAATCGGTGACTGCAATTAAAGACTCATGGGCAAGAGCTGATGTTTTTATTGGATTTCACACAGCTCTGCTTTCCCAAAAAGTATTCTAGTAGCCTCGAAAACTTGCTCAAAACGAAAAACATTTTACGAATTCCTTCTAACTAATTAAGTAAGTCTAAGAAATCCAATTTTACTAATGCATCTGATGCCAAGGACTTGTTTGCCCTCTCCCACTCTCATCTCTTTAAGATATTGGTCTTTTTATTGTTTTATAGTAATTTTTCACTTGTGCAATCTCCATACCTGGCTTAGAATATGGCTTTGGATGACTCCATCTGGTATCTTGTGTCCGGAAAGTTCTAGTATTTATAGACTTTTTTATGCTCAGTATGGCTCAGCAGGCCTATCTCACAAACTCCACCACATGAAAACAAAACCTCGTAAAAGTTCAATCTGGAAGGTCTAAAAATCTCCAAATGACATTACCTTGTACTTTACTCCAATTTCCTAAGTAATTCATTCATTGTATTTAAGATCTGATAAGAAGGACATCAGGAGAGTTGTATATACAAAGTTTCTATTATACACTTAAGCTAACATTGTTGCAGACTTTCATTTGGTATGAAAGTAGATGATGAAGACATGCGTTGGTTAATCCCACCGGAAGATGACGGGTACTTCCGGTTGTTATGCCGCCGTATTTGGCTTTAATACAACGTTTAGGTTGACCCAGTCCACGAGACATCCTCCCTTTTTTAGGTGAAAATGGCCTGAGCTTACATACATTACATGATGGACATCATCAGAGCTGGAACTAATTCCTAGGATTAATACTGATGGATAGTAGTTTCCGGCTGAACTTTTTATCAATCTTCTCCTCTTCTAATCCTGGAAATTAGCTTCTATAAGATGCCGGCTAGCGACACGCATTGACTTCATTACTAATACTTTAACCATATAAATATGAGCTTAAAAGAAATTCACGGAGAAACCGCATTTATGACTCTCCAACACATCTATCAAATTTGCTTACCCAAAAAGGTAAACTCTCCTCTTTTGCTAATTAAATTTAGCACCGATGACCTACTTGCCCAAAACTACAATCTTAACTCCAGGAGAAAATACTCTTCCGGCACCCAGTGACGCCGATTTATGGCTCCTTTCCGCTCGCAGAATCAAACGAACTGAGGGGTACATGAGGACGTTTGAGAATAAGTTTGCTTTTATACAATCAGTTTGAGTAAAGGTACATCATAGCACAGAGAAGAACGCTTACATATCATATCATCTCGTCTTAAAATAAGCCTCCTGAGAAGGGAATCTCACGTAATTTAGGCTAAAATTGTAAAATTCTATGGGCCAAGGTGATACATGAAAAAAAGGATTAAATCTATTGTTAAAACGTCACCAGTTGAGCTCACTTTTTGCCTGCCATAGTCCTTGGTTTTGGAGAGCCTCTCGGCCCTTTCTGTTTGGCGACCAGACGATCAGATCCAGCGGCCGCCAATCCATTGTTGGCTCCATTTTATTCTGGCCTTCCACAACAGGAGCCTCTAAATACGCGTCAATCTCAGTTTCACCAATATTCGTAATCTTCTGTGCCTCTCGGGTCAGAAGGTTAGTTTGTGAAGTTGCCAAGGCAAGATAGTTTACATCGTCGCATCGAGACAACTGGTCGAATTGGGCCTGGTTGCCGACGGCCAGACGAACACGAAGGTTACCCTGGCAGTTGCCGCTTCTGGGCTCAACAATGGGAAGCCATGAGTTGATGACTATGAAGGGCATCTGAAAAATGACAACAAATGGGTGCAAACGCACCAGCAAAAAGACATTCGTGTAACCACGTTGAGGTCAGAACTATGGAAAACTGGGTTTAAAAGAATCTCTTAGTATAGTTACCCTGTTAGAAATGATCCGACATCTGAGACGACTCAAACCATTGGTCTACTACTTAGACTGATAGAAAAGATTGATGATGGGAACGAGTGGCCTTTGAAGGTAAAAGAAGTGTTGGAATATGTATTATTACAGTGACGAGTTTGGAAGGGTAACTACAGGCACAATAACACGTCGAGGCCAAACGGCACATAAGACAAAGTAATTATGAACTTTGTCGTTAAGGTGGTCTATGTAAGAAGTACTGATAGTTCCGAAACACACGTATAGACCTTTATTTAGAGACCCAACCGAAATACTTAAGACTAGGCTAAAATATGCCCTTAAGTTATGCGAAAGTAATGATGAAAT